TTTCAAGGCACGCCACCAGGACGCCCCTGGCAACCAAACAGTTGTAAAGCGCTCCAGGTTTTGCACGTCGACCGCGCCGATCCACGATCCCCGATCCCCGTCCACCCTTTTCGAGAACGAGAAAAAGCGAGAAGAGGGGGAAAGAAGGCTCCAAACTATGTCCTGTCGTTCAAATCTCCCAGCTCCGCCGGCTTTCGGCACGGAGCCAAGGACTTGCACATCAACACCCTGGACCGATGCAGTGGGCAGCCGAGGGTTCTGGGGCAAGGCTCTGGTGCCAAAAAGTTTCGTTCTAAGTGGGGCAGGGAAAAGCAAAGTGTTCCCCAAACCAAAGTGTGGCGGGTCAAGTTCGGCTGCAGTTGAGCCGCTGATTCATAGGATTCGTAGGTGTCCTTTAGGGTAGTCATCTTGAGCGAACATCAGGCTGCTGGGTTTCACTTTTGTTCGCTCCCTGAAAGGATTATGTTCAGCTGATGCTCCTGAGTTTACGTTTAGCAGACTTGCAGTTGCAACTTGTGAGGTCGGTTTTGTCTCGTCCGACGGGGTTTGGACTTAGATCCCGACACCGCTCTGAGACATGTATGAAATAAAAGAACGAGATGTCATGCGCACGAGTTCCACAAAGTGCCCGCACGGGGACAAAACCAACAGACAACCCCGAGGTTCTTGTCCTAGCGCCGCCCTGTGGATTGCAGATGTTCGTTTGTGGGTTGGTGCAACTTGGCAAAGAAGTGCAGTGTTTTCCTGCAAAGTCGACCGAGGGGCGTCCCGGCTTTTCACGATTGGGTGAGTAAGTTGAAAAGCCAACCGCCCGGGTGAAGTCTCCGTTTCTTCAGCGTGCAGAGAGTCTTTCACTCGGCGATGAAGCGTGAACTGTTGTTTGGGCAATGCGCTGGTTGAGGGTACACTTACAGGCGTTTTAATTGGGAAACCAAGCGGAGAACCCGGGGAAGTTCCAGCACACATGATCCAACACCAGAGTGTGTCAAAGCAGTCAACCACCTTCTACTGGCCAGTGGGAGTCTCCCTCGGACGCGGGACAGCCTGCGGATGTGTTCTTCGGAAGGTGTCCAAAGCAATATGTTTCTAAGTCGGGCCGTGACACAAAAGAGATCCTCAAGTCCACCGTCCTCATTTTGTTCCAAACATGCCAGGCACTCCATCTTGTGCCAAAGGAAACTACAGCTAAGGAGCACGCTGCCGCCCATTGGTGGTCCAACTCCTTAGTTGAGACACGCTCCTGTAGTTTGTTGTCTCCATGATGCAAACTTGGGGAGACATCAGGGCCCAGCTACCCCCCGAAAGGCTCTAAGAACCATTCCTTGGTGCCTTGGGTTTTTCTCCTTTACTTCAGCTTACCTTGCCGTCTTTGTCAGTGGCTATCCTGTGGACTTGGGGGCTTCCCAATCCCAGTTTCCTTTCGGCCATTCAAAAACCGTCCGATTTGGGCGGCGTCGACGTCTTCCCTTGGACGCTGAGGATGGTAGCGACTGGGCGCCACCCTGTGTCGGTCTGGGGCATAGGCCCTGGCATGTTCAGGGATGCTTCTTCGGCGTCGCCGTTCCCGCGGTTTGGGAGCCCAAAGTGACTGCATCCCTTTTGACACCATGGGAAGCACTCCTGTGCAGCCGCTGGATGTGCTTCGGCACATGTGCATGTTGACTGCTTCCCGGAAATTGAGAGTCTGCTTTTGCAATGGATATGCCAGTGGCGCTGAGTTTCCCCACATCGTCTGATTCTGGAAAGGCCGTTATCTCCATGACTGTTGCGAAGAGGTATGCATCCAACAGGAGATTTACGGGAATGTATTATGTTGACAACCCTTGGGCAGACGACAAACCTCAACAAGGTGTGAAGGGGCATTGTGTCCCATGCTCAACCCTGACAGTTTGCACAATATTAATGGTTCCTTGGAGTAGTCACCCTTTCCATGCGTTTTTTAGGGCCCCCGGGAAGGACACCAACTATTATGTGCGTGACGATAGTATGTTGGCCGTGATGTGGCTTTTGCCTCTAGCTTTCGGATCATGAACCTTGCATATCTACCGAAGCCTGACCCCTTCCCCTGATAGAATACGACTATTTTGCTCCCAAACCAGCTTGCACCGTACCCGGTCGGCTTCAGGGCCGTGGGGGTTTCTGGACTCGAACATCGTTCGCTAGCGAGCCGCGCTCTGCCAAGCAGAGCGTGCGCAATGGAAGAGCCCTCGGGATGGGTCACTGGGAGTTTCAATCTGGTTGGCGGTATGCAGGACCTGTGCAAAGGCGGACACATGAGTTTTGAACGACAAAGTCGCGCCTGGAGCCGAGCTCAACTTGATTTTAGGCCAGCAAGCTTGCAAGCTGCATAGCATGAGAGTCATGTTGTCAGTGTTTCTGAAAGTCAAGGATGTTTGGTTCCCTTGATTCCCCTTCAGAACCCAGCAGCAGTACGCACATGAACCAGGCTCTTCGAGACCACATCCCAAAGCGCAATCCGCGCCTACGCCTCGTTTCTCACTCTCCGCGCCTACGCCTCGCTTCTCCGGAGCCGATGCCAGATCCGTGGGTTCTTGCCTTCCGGATTCGGGGGGGTCAAGTCAGAATGTGTCTCCGAAGCCCGGGCTTGACTTGGGATTTCCGTCAACGCCCCAAAAAGGCACCCCGTTTGGGGCCATTCATTTGGAGATTGGTACCCTTGTTGGGTTGTTTCAGCAAGAATATACGCACGCACTCACTTTTGTGGAGTTGGACCACCCTCTTTTGATACGTTTGAGCCGGCGACGATATTTCCCAGCCACTTTGGGAGGTTCGTATGAATTCGCAGTCAAACCTACCCGCCTCTACATGTGAATGCTGAATGCCTTTGGGGACCATTGTTAAGAGAATACCAGCACGAATCCCAACCGTGTGAAGGGATCTTTAGAGTATTTATAGTGCTGTATCTTTATAGTCAAATCATGTGACGGTAGGAACAGTAGGTTTACTTTGCTTTGCGTTGCTGTATTGCAACTGGGCGAAGGGCAAGGACCAACCAGTTGAGAGGCTGGTTGAACCTCGCTACCTGACAGGACACTTGTCCTCCTAAGGGAAGCCCAAACCATGGAGGGTTGCCCAACCCTCTGATAAATATATATATATATATATAAATAGGACTTGCAAATCCAAAGGTAAACATAGCAGCCTCGCGTGCTTGGCTGTCTCTTTGTCTATACATCTGCAGCCTTTGGGAACAAGCCAAAGTGGCTCCTTTGGAATCCGTCGGCAAGCCTGGGTGTACGCGTGACGAGCCCAAGAACAAGCCTAGGCCTCGAACCCGAATTGGTCAGGTGTTGAACTCCCAAAAGTCGAGTGTTTTTCTTCGAATTGGGCACCCCCTTCGAATTGGTTGAATCAACTGGGCACCAAAAAATGTAGAAACTGCTCTGGGTCTCTTCGGCTCGCAGGCAACAGGAGCATAAAAAGGCTTGCGCGAGGCGAGGAAAAGGCCGGGATGGCAGGAGACTCGGCGAGCGATGCGGAGGTATGTTCTGGCGGTGTTCCTTTGGTTTCTCATTAGAGCAAACTGAACGAGGCTTTCCTCAAAAAGACGTAGGTATTTCTGAACGTAAGTCCCGCCAACAAAACAAGCAACAACAGTAGCCCCCTTCTAGAACCCTTCCGGAACCCTAGCCCCGAGCCGCTTCGAACCAAGCCAGAGCCCATGCTATGTGAGCAAGGACCCTTGAGCTTTCAGCTGTTGGGCTCAAGAGGGGAAACAAATCCTATATGCCTGCGCCTTCTGATTCTGAAACCGGTCTATTTCCCGGCATGGCCTTATGCAGCCTTCTACGCGAGGCACATTTGGCAGCCATGGCAAGGCGTAGCGCTGCAGACTAAGTTTGGCTTTCTGTAGATGGCTTGGAAGGATGGGTATGTCTTTTTTGGGTAGAACCATTTCTGGGTGTCAAACCTAGATGACCTACTCCGACAGTTGTCAAGGAGCGATAGTCATTTAAATGTCACAGCATTCAAAACAAAACATTGTTTTAGTGTTTGGTTTGGGGTGCTTGAGCATGAACCGCCGAAAAAAACATGCTGGCCCAATGCTCATGGGCTCTGGCCCTTACAATCCTTCGCCGAGGGTTTTGCTTGTAGCCACGGAGAACATGGATTGTTCTTTGCTTGTGGTCACGCACAATCTGATTCATTTTGACGAAACAAGTGGGCGCCGAAGGGGGCTTTTGTTTGTTCTTTTTGCAGGAAGGGGGGGGGGGGGGAAGGGCAATGTTTGTTTTTGTCTGCGCAATGCTCATGTGACTTGGCGTTGTTTGTTTCAGTGGCAGATCTGGAGCACCTGGGCCCACTTCATTTGGACAGCTTCCCATGGCCAAACAAAGGCCTGCCGAAACTCGATGCGCTCACTATGGCTGTAATTTCGATACGCAAGGCTGGCAAGCATTTGGGCAGTGGCCTTGTGCATTGGACATGCGCACACACAGGCATCTTGTGGCTGTACGAGTGATAAATGCGATCGCAATCAGAAATCTTACTTGGGGTCTGGCGCTTTTCTTGGTGAAGCATGGTGAAACTCGAATGGTCAAGCCTTTTGCAACTGCAGCTGTTGCCCGCCGCCTTTTCCGCAAGCTGAGCTCAAAAGGCCTTTGACACCGCAGCCAACACAAGCGGCCTGGCAGGGTTTAACCATGGGTAAATTCCACTACAGTGCGTGGAAGGCAAGCGGGAAGAATGTCTTTGTCTTTGAGCCACCTGTCCACTTCTCTCTGATTGGAGAGAGGCGTTCTTGTTGGAAGAGATATGGCCATCCCGCTCGAGTTAAATCTTGTTGGCAAAATGCGGTGTTCACAGTCAGAATTCCATTTTGGTTTCTGGAGTTGAAAAAGCAAATGCATAAATGTGGCCTAACTTCCCACTGCCATCTCCAAGTGGGGTAGTCCCCGAAACGGGGCCCGGTTTTGCTAGTCTTTCCCTTTGACGCAACCCCCAAAAAGGGTGCCAACTCCAGCGGAAGCAAAGGGCCAGTTCAACTCGGGACCTTGGGGCGCTCCCGCGGTCGAGACCGCCATGGGCGGCTTCAAAGGCGAGCGATCAGGGAGAGAGGTTGGTTTGTGTTCACAGCCCGGCTTTGGACTTTGAGCACTCTTTTTTTTACTGAGGAAGAGTTCGGACCATTCGAACTTCGGGCTAGTCAGGAAGACCTGTTCTTTGCGTGATTTCCTGGCGTTGGCCCTTAGTGCTTGGGGGACACTGAGGCATAGGTGGATATGTTTCGCTTACCATTTCTACGCATGAATGATTGCTTTCTTGGATGCCGCTCAGTCTGCCGCGGACCAATCAGCTTTGTTTAGCCTGAGCAACCTTTGACTCGGTTAAAACAAGGAGTTTCTAACACTCAGCAAAACATGATCTTTCCTGGGGTCTGTTAGTGGATTGAACCCGGGCGGACTTGAGGTCTTCTGTGCCTCGAATGGAGCTCTCAACAAGGGTCATCGGGGGGGGGGGGGCACAAAATGGGCCCTCAAAATGGTTAGACTCCTGTTATCTTCTCTTTGAATAGACCAACCAAAAGGGGGTCCACCATGTCGGGAAATACTCATCCTCCCCATGCGGCATTTCACGCTATAGCAATATGGCTGTGAATCAAAACTAATGGTACCATTTTGGGGTAGGTGCACCACCCATTTTAGTCTATGTTAGTGGGGATTGGGATGTTCACTGAGGGTACGGGATTTTGACCCATGGACCTATGGCTATCCGGAGTCTTGGAGCGGGAGGAACTCCGGTTGATTTCTTTGCACAACATCGCGTTGAATTGGCCAAGGCGCGACACCTTGTACTCTTTGGCCCCATGGGTTCGGCAATGGCATTGTTGAGATTGTGACTGGATGTTTTTGGACATGCTTGTGATGGGCTCAGTCCAAAGCTGCCCGTTGGGCATGTCCACCAAAGATATATGATCCCCCGTGGCCAGGTGAAAATTAATGGATAGTTATGCATCAAAGTCAAATATTTGGGGCCCAATGATGCGAAACCTCTGGTTTCGGGGGCCCAAAATGGTGGTTTTCCTTTGGTTGCGCCTTTGAACCCAAGCCCCAAACGGGCGAATTTGTTCGTGTGACTTTGCCAGGTCGGCATGGCCGCCCCAAGCTCTGGGGAGGCGGCTCGCCTGTTCGTTGCCGGGGAGTGTGGCGACGCAAGCTACTAGGTTTTTCAGCTAGGTGCCCTTTCTCACCAACTGTTTTTGGTTGGGAGGGTTTTTTTCTACTAAAATAGACCAGAGAAAAAAAGAGGGTACCCTTATTCTAACCTCTCTACTGGAGGACCCAGGCTAGAGACTTGCTGGGTTCCCCGCAGACCTTGGGTCCAGACCACTTCGCAGAGGGATGTGTTGATTGTTCCGTCCGGTCTTAACATAAACGGGCTTAGTTTAAGCCTGGTGGCTTCGGTCCTGTTCGGTGCTCGTTCAGATGAGGTCCAAAGCATCGTCCAAATGAGGTCCCTAGAAGCAGCAATCATTGACATGTTTTGGAGTTGCATCTTCCAAAGGAAGTAGAGGGGACTTCAAAAATATTTGGGAAACCAACTATGGATTGATCGCCGGCGTGCTTGACTGCAAATTCTTCTTTTGGAAGGAGGATGCAGCAAGGCTCATCGAATGCAATGCTCTAAGAATAGTTGTGTTTCTCATCAAGCTTCAAGCGGAATCTGTGAGTTTTGCCGGACGCCTCTGCCACGAAGAGTTCGGCTTCATTGTGAAGGACGCAACAACCTGGCAGCGAATTTGACAGGGATGCATTAATCCGATATATTAGTTCTAGCCGTGTGTCAAGCCACATCAAGACTTGAATAATCTTGCATGCGCTTTGAGAATGTTTCAAGGAATCATGGACCTGGTAGTTCCCAGTTTGGCAGGCTGGACATTTAGCCTCACAAAAGCTGTCATGACTCAAGGGTTCATGGCTTTTTGGAGAGCTGTTCACCTGCTTGGCATGATATCAACCGTGTCAGACATCGGTGCAGACTTGATATCAAGAGGAATGCGGAGTGCAACAGCACAAAGGTTGGCTTCATTTCTCCTGGACTTGCGAATGACTGTGCAACTAGATGTTCACGAAGAACAAGTTCAGAAGCTGCTTGAGTGTAGAGCCTTTCGCGAAACAGTCTCACCTCACTTCTGGGGGGTCCACTGGCCGATGCTAGCCGGCGTATTGCCAGTGAGAGACATTACCTTTGCAATCCATGATTTCAGCCTTTTTTCCCTTTTTGCAGACCAAAAAATGTTCATGCTGCATCAAACAACCAGTTGAACATAGTTGACTTATTTACAAAGCCAAGAAACTACTATGTGCACACCCACAACCAACCAGTCGCACCAGTTTAATGGCTAACCAGCTGAACTTTCTGCGCAATAGCCCCCCTCCCCCAGCACTGCACGGGGTTGTGTTGTTGTTGGTTTGTCCCAAGAAGGGCCTCAATCTTATACTCTTTGTTGTGCCCCTTCAAACCACTTCCAAGAAGCCCAGTGATTGCATTTACCACTGGTTTTGTGGTTTTTGGTCTCGTTTACTTGCCATGCGGCGGTCCAGGCTCTGGGCCAGGCGCGTGCGATTGAGCAAAAAGCGAACCGCTGGCTATCCCCTCGGATGGTTTTGAAGGTGGTTGCAGGGTGACTTATTTTTGGACACACCGCAAAAAAGTCATAGTGGCAGAAGCTTGTTCGATGATGTACATGAACTTGATGTGCACAAAGGTTGTAGTGGAATAGGATACCAAACTGATGTTTATCGAACTTAGATAACCTATTTGGGTTTCAGGTTGAACATCAATTAGCCGACGATCAAGATCAGGTGCATTTTTGTGGTTGCTGATTTGCGATCGAGATCGGGAGCGGCTCCTTCCTTAAGCAATCGCAACACCAAAGCTTGCCAAAGTATTGAGGCAGATATGTAGGGGGCTGTCTGGCTTGAGGGTGCCCTTGTTCAGGCAATCTGCAGGGGAGGGATTTCTATTTTGAGACAAAGCCAGAGCAATTGAAACACACCAGTTGATTCATAGCCTTATAGCTCTTTGAAGTCGATTCATGACCCGCTTGTCAAGATTTGTTGTGATGTCCCATGTTTTTGTCTTAAATGTCTTCGTTGAGCCGTAGGTTTGTGAGAAGTCCAGCAACATGATCTATTTTCAAAAGCTGTTGTATATTTGTTTTGGCCCCTGTCAAGGGTGCTCTGTGAACCAAGGAGATTGGACATGTGCTACAACCCCTGGGTTCAAGTCCACTTTGGGGTCAAACAAATGGAACCCATAAACTGCATGTTCCATGGTTTCAGTAAGCCCGACGCGGCATTTCTTTTCGCGAGGCCCCAGTCGAAGAGGCGCGCTCGACCCGGTTTCTTGTGGAAGGGTTTCCCCATCGAATCAGCCAACAAGAGAGTCATGATAGGCCTAATTGAAGCAATCGATAGAGCAAGTAGATCTTGAATCGGCGTATTGCAGTCATACTTTCCTGATCCAGGTACACCCAGTTGAAAGAGAGGGTGATATGGCTTTGTTGTATCCGGGAGGGAGATGTCAGCAACCATGATGGGCTGCAGCATGCTGCAGCCCAACTGATGAAGCATGGAGAAGAGGTGTATAAGAGGGTGCTGGTGCACTGAATCAGAACCATCCAAATACTGTCTCTTGCATTCCTAGTTGCGTTGTCGTTAGTCACCATAAAATCCCATGCAGGTGTTCTTCTACACGCAGCGTCCGACAAGCCAATTTCACAAACACCTGCTCGATTGATTTGGGTTGAAAAACGCATGAATCGTGAGACATGGCCTGTAAATGCTAGGGTAAGGGGACCCATCCATGAAACCCTCAAACGGGTTCCAGCTTGCACAAAAAGGGCAATCATGTGATCATGTGTGTAGCATCGTAAAACCATTTGTTAGAACCCATTTTAGGGTCAATCGTTTGAGATTGATTTTTGGGGCCCTTGGTAGTGAGGCTTGAATGCTTGCCAGGCCGGCACGAGAGGCGGGCAGAGCATGTTTGGTGGAGAAGACAAAAACTTGCGGAGGGGGATACATCGCAAGGGGTTTTTTTGGTTTGGGAAGCCAAGATTGCGGGAAACCAAGCAATTTGGGGGTCCCGCAATTTTAAGCCACCTTTTGGTTTGGTGACAGTGACCCTGTGATCCCGGACGCTCCAGCAGGTTCCGCAAAGCGTGAAAGGCAAACCTGCGACTCGCGGAAACCTGAATTTGTGAAAAGCCTGTGGTGAGAAGAAGGGGAGTGTCAATGTGTAGGGGCTCTACCTAAGGACTGCCCCTTACCAGCAGATGCTGAAGATTACTGATTATAAAGACATTGAGACTGTTTTAGGTACATGTTGCACTGACTTTGGCCTACCTTCTGCAACCATTTGGGGCAAATTATTCGCCCTCTAATTCTTCGGCTTTGTCAGGCGGACGTTTCCCGAACCTATGCTTGGTTTGTTCTTCGCGGTTCCTCTCAACCCCATTTGGAAGAGGGCCGCTCATTTCGGGAAGCACCTGGATTCAAAAGCTGCTGACTTGACTTGATCCATGTCGGACAACGATTAATAAAGGGAAGGGATTGCAGAGCTTGGTAACCTTTATACATGTGGTGATTACATGAATACTGGGTTGGTTCTAGGTGTTTCAGGAACCACCCACGGCCTCCTGGCTTTTGCGCCTTTGCAGATTTTGCGACTCTTCGGGAGGGAGGTCCATAGCCAATGCGAGTTTCCTGGGCGGGTGGGCCCCTTGGTTTGGTTTTTGGTTGACGCTTTTGCGCCTGTTGAGGGAAGAAAGGGAAGCTTGGAAGAAGTTGCATTCTGAACCCGAAATTCTACAGGAAGTGTGCCACACCCTACAAACAAACCAAGGGTTGCCACCAAACCCGAGGTTCTCGGCGGGGGAGATGCTTTTTCTTGTGGGTTCGCTTCGCGAGCTCCATGCGAGGCGGGAGGCCTGGCCCGGCGAGGGGCACAGCCGAGGCGAGGGAGCGGCTTCCACGTGGCTTTTACCTCACTTCCTGAGGTCATGAACTTTAAACTTTTTGGGAAGACCATGTTAGTGGCATTTTTTTCTTTTTTTAATAGTTTGAACTCTTTCTCTTTTTTTCCTCGGACATCCACTCAGCCAGTGAGTTGCTGTAAGCCTGCAACTAAACCCAAGGGGTTGCCTCTCACAGAAAAGGTGACAAAGCCATTTTTCTCCCTTTGAGTTTTGGAGGGGATGCCCTTTGGGGAGCAATCCGATTTTCGCAACACCCTTGCTTGGGTGCCGGGGTTGACTCCACCCAGGTTGGCCAATCCCTTAATTTTTTGGGCTTTAATGAAACGGCAAAATACATAACGAATCGAGCCAGGGTTTTGACCCTGGCGATCTCCATGTTCCCCACCCAAGAGGTTTGGGGTTAGATTTCAGCGACATCCGACCCGCGGGAGCCGGGGTCTCCCGGTGGCCGGACCAGGACAGCTTTGACAGGCCAAAACTTGAGGAAGCGATGAGAAACTACCGGACCGCACTTTCAGCTGCTAATGATGTGTCCTGGACGGGACCTTGCAGGACTTGCCGTGCCAAGGGCCATCAGCTGAGTTTCTTCGCTGCTGCATCAGCCAGAAGCATGCTCGAGGCTCTGCTGACAGTTGGATTGACCCTTTGATGCATGCGGGGATGTCGCAGCCGAGCTTAGTCAAGCGAACTTCTAAGGCAAGTAGTGGTTTTTGAGCTGAAGCTGCCAAAGAGTAGACTTGTGCTGAAAAGCTGCGTTTTGCGAGCTGGTGCTGCCATGGTGCACGACGTGGATTGGACTTGCACTGCAAAGTTGCGATTTGCGAGGCGGAGCCGCCACAGTTGACTTTGCGTACTGGACTTTTACTAAAATGGCGCGATTTGCAAGGTGGAGTTGCCAATGAGTACTGCGTGTGCTGGATGTTCCGCTTTCGAGCCGGAGCTGCCAAAGGGCACGCTTAAGCTCTAAGCCCTATACACCCAGCACTCAAGACAACTTCGCAATACCTTGGGAACTTACTCGTCGCGGATTTTGTCCCGGAATGTGCGTAGCGATGGGAACTGCCCAAATTGACAGATGATCTGGGAAGGCTACAGAGAGTTTTGACAGTCACTCACATAGCCAGGCTTTGCCGAAGCCAACCTTTGGGTGGTATGCGGCATAATTTCAACTTATTGTACTAGGAACATAGCAACACCATTCATTTGCAATTCGCCAGGGCTCGCAGGACTCAATGACGCACAATCTTCGCCAGATGCTCGCTGCTCAAGATGGCGCGAAAACCCGTGAAGAAGCGGAAGAAGACGAGCCACACGGCCCTGTGCCCTGCGTCAGACCAACGAAGACAAAGTGATGCTGTGTCCCTGGAGCCACTGCGCGGTGATCGGCGCAAGGGTTGGCTTTCGAAGTGAGTGGTTTTCTTAGCAGAAAATGACGCATTAAAATGTGGTATTTGTTTTTCACAGAAACAACACAAAGCATTCAAAAGTGGAATTTGGGGAGGGTGGGTGACCCCTGGATTCGTTTGATTTTTTGTTGTGGACCCACGTTTCCTTAGGGGAGTTGTTGGCCATTGAAAGTCACGTGGGGTGGGTTGGCAAATGGGTGAATGAGCCAGCGAAAAGCCAAGCCAAGCCGACAACACATGCCAAGTGAGCGACAATCAACCTCGCATGTGCCGTCTTAGGCGGTTGTACTACGTTTTGTGGCCCAGTATTTCCAGGCTTCTATCGAGCCCGTGAATTTTGTCTGTTTCTAGAGTGATCAAAGTCACTTGCGGGGAAGGGATTTGAGACGACCAATCATGCGTGCATGTGAGCCTCAAAGAAAACCGAACGGCTAGATGAAGAGTAGTTGGGTTACGGTGCCTTTGCCAAACAAGTGTGCTGAAAGAAGGCGTTTTGGTGCTCCTTGAAGGACTATGTATGCTTTGTCTCTGTGAATGCTAGCTAGCCCTTGGTTGCAAAACTCCAGGTCGATGTTGATAGAAAGGGTGTCCTATGTTATCATACCCTGGGATTGCAGAAAGTGGGGTGTGCCGTCAAAAGGTGTGCCGTCAAAATTGAGCTCAACCCTCCAAGTGGTCGGTTTCTCTGTTCATGTCAGCCCCGATCGATGCGTAATTATTTGGGGCGCTCGACCCATTTGGGGGGCTCTCCACTTTTGGGAGCATGATTCTCAATCTGGGATCAAGCGGGAGCTTGGGGTTGAAAAATGCCCTACAAGCACACACGGCACAGGAATTGATTTGGATCCCTTGCGAGCCACATCCATACCCAGACCTTCAGTTTCAATGTCTGTGTTCGATTTCTTTGTTTGCTTTGACAGTTGGGAACTGTTAATCTCTGGTCAACTGTCCTTAAAAGCGACGTGTTGGGCTGCGTCCCCATTGAATCGTTAGGCAGCATAAGCTAGGTACCGGTCTGTTAGGAATATGGATCATAGACAGCTTGGACATCATGGCTCTCGTCAAAAAACCCTTCCCAAAATGACTCGGCCGTTTTGACTGCTACTTGTCGCTTGTGTGCGGATCAAGGAAAAGTGCACTGGGCCGACCCTGCGACTGATATATAGAACGCAGTTCTCCCCACATTGCCTATTATTCACTGACACCGATTTATGCGTGACAACGCAAGATCACGCTGTCCGGATTCTCGCTGCTTTGCCATTTGGATGTTTTGAAGCTCGATGCATATGTCCATGACTGGACTCCTGATCCGTTTTCTACTTTGGGCTGTCCTGCGATCACTCACAATGTTGCTTATAATCCCAAACACAAAAGGCCAAGGTATTCTCATGATCGTCACTGCGTGGCAACCACGAGGGTCTGCACCGGTTTGCGCTGAGCCGCTGTTTTACCACTGAAGTTTGCCAGAGCCTATGTTTTTGATTTTCCAATTTCCAAGATTTTTCATTCACCCAATATCGGAAAGCTACGTGGTTGCTTTGTGTCCTGGCCTCTTGGTCACTGGGAGTCAGCTGTCCGATCCATCTCTCCGGATTGGATGGCAGGCGAGTCGGATCGGCGCGGGCCGGGGCCAAAGATCCATCTTTGGGCTGGCAAAGCCAGCTGCATATGGTTCAAGACCAATGGGATCCCATTTTGGGGTTTTTGGTGCACCCATTTTAGAGCCGATTTTAGTGGGGATTGGGATGTTCAGGGGGTACCTGGTTTTGACCCATGGCCAGCTGGGTATTTCTAAACGCGGAACACCTCTTTTCGGGCTCTGAAAAAGTGGGTGGGCCCCAAAGTTGCATTATGTTGGTTTCCTTCGAAGCATCCACAGGGGGGATTCAGGCGTTTTTTGGGCGCCTCCAGCTGGACCCGCCTAGATACTTTCATGTCAATGTTGCTTCCAGCTTGAGCCTGGCCAAAAGGGAGGCCACGCTTGGAAAAGGATTCCCACACAATGCCTGGTCACTCATGACCCCTGCTTGCACTCTGATTTGCGCGCTGTTCCTTGAAATCGCTTTGTGCCCGCAGGACGCAGGGCTGTTTCGAGCGCTTTAGCTGTTGCTCTTTCTTCTTGTGAAGCTCCCCCAAAAGTCAGCCTGCGTCGCCCTTGCGCGGACGCTGCCTTTCGTTTGCCTCAAGTGTCTCCCTCAAACAAGTCAGGATCGTTGGACTGTGGGTACAACAATGCCGTTTGTTTGTTCATATACAAGTGTGAGTCATTTGAGGCTTGTTTGCAAAGCTCGCCTTTGCTTTACCTTCTTGCCAGACCATCTTGGGACGACTTAACGCCGCTGTTAGTTAAAACATTTCTTTGTTCCCTACGCGAACGGGGATCACTGGGTCGCGGATTCGCGGCGAGGCAGAAGGACTGGAAATCGGAGCGGGGCCAAAGGGGCCCAAGGCCCCGCCCGCGGCCGGAGCGAGGCGAGCGCTTCAGCCTTCCAGCGACCAGGGGAAACCACGATTCAAATAGAGATTTGTTTTTGGGATAATGAGCGGAAGTCCGCTTTCCCGTGGCCAGCTCAAATATTGCCTGTTTGGGCATGTGCAAGTGTATGTTCTTGCGGTGGAGTGATGCTTGAAGGGGAATTCAAGGAATCTTGTATAAAGAACTCATGATGGTTGCTTGGGTCGTGTGGGCCCCATGTTGACCTGGAGGACTTCCTTCTTTTTCTAGCGGGTTTCCCTTGGACTAGTCCATCGATGCAGATTCACAAAAGGACCGATGCATTACCGTTTACCTTTGAATGATTCATTTCTGCTGGTTCCTCTGGTTTCTATTTAGCGGCTGGCAACTGTAAACACTAGGACAAGGGAGCTCTTCTCATTGTTTTGCTTCTGGCACGGCCAAACACTGAGGGTGTATTCCGTTGGACTCGTCAAACCACGATGTACGCTTGGGTGAACATGGCGCACTTCCTTTTATGTCGATAAGGTGATGATGGAGCCAACATCGGAAAGACAAACCGTGGACTCCAACATACCTCGCTCATCAGATCAAAACACCTGGTCAAGCATAATAGACTTGCACTTTCATTTTTTTAAAAAAAATCAAACACACATACATGCATGCATGCATGCATGCATACATACATACATACATACACACACACATACACGCATACACACATACACACAAACACACATACACACACATATACACACATACACACACATACACACATACACACACACATACATACACACATACACACATACACACATACACACAGACACACAGACACACAGACACAGAGACACAGAGACACAGAGACACAGACACACAGACACACAGACACAGAGACACAGAGACACAGACAGACACACAGACACACAGACACACAGACACACAGACACACAGACACACAGACACACAGACACACAGACACACAGACACACAGACACACAGACACACAGACACACAGACACACAGACACACAGACACACAGACACGGGGACACGGGGACACGGGGACACGGGGACACGGGGACACGGGGACACGGAGACACGGAGACACGGAGACACGGAGACACAGACACACAGACACACAGACACAAGGACACACAGGCACACAGACACACAGACACACAGACGCAGAGACACACAGTCACACAGACACACAGACGCACAGACACGCAGACACACAGAGACAGAGAGACACAGACACAGACACCTGCTACACATGTTACACATGTTACACATGTTACACATGTTACACATGTTACACATGTTACGCATGTTACACATGCTACACATGCTACACATGCTACACATGCTACACATGCTACACATGCTACACATGCTACACATGCTACACATGTTACACATGTTACACATGCTACACATGCTACACATGTTACACATGTTACACATGTTACACATGCACAGTCTACACATACTACACATGCTACACATGCAACACATGCTACAAATTGTACACATGTTACACATGTTACACATGTTGCACATGTTACACATGTTACACATGTTACACATGTTTCACTTTTTACACATGTTACACATGTTACACATGCTACACATGCTACACATGTTTTCACATGTTGCACATGTTGCACATGTTACACATGGTACACATGCTACACATGTTACACATGTTACACATGTTACACATGCTACACATGTCACACATGATGCACATGTTACACATGTTTCACATTTTACACATGTTGCACATGATACACATGCTACACATGTTACACATGTTACACATGTTACACATGTTACACATGTGACACATGTGACACATGCTACACGTGTTGCGCATGCTACACATGTGACACATGATACACATGTTACACATGTTACACATTTTACACATGCTACACATGTTACACATTTGACACATGTTACTCATGTTACACATGTTACACGTGTTACACATGCTACACATGATACACATGTTACACATGTTACACATGTTACACATGTTACACATGATACACATGTTACACATGCTACACATGTTACACATGATACACATGCTACACATGTTACACATGTGACACATGATACACATGTTACACATGTTACACATGTTACACATTTTACACATGTTACACATGTTACACATTTGACACATGTTACTCATGTTACACATGTTACACGTGTTACACATGTTACACATGTTACACATGTTACACATCTTACACATGTTACACGTGTGACACATGTTGCTCATGTTCCACATGTTACACATGTCACACATGCTACACACTCTACACATGATACTCATGATACACATGCTACACATGTGACACATGTTACACATGTTACACATGTTACACATGTTACACGTGACACATGTGACACATGTTACTCATGTTACTCATGTTACACATGTTACACATGTTACACATGGTACACATCTTACACATCTTACACATGTTACACATGTTACACATTTCACACATGTTACACATGTGACACATGTTACTCATGCGGCACATGTTACACATGTTACACATGCTACACGTGCTACACATGTTACACATGTTACACATGTTACACACGGTACACATGTTACACATGTTACACATCTTACACATTTTACACATGTTACACACTGTACACATGCTACACATGTTACACATGTTACACATGCTACACATGTTACACATGCTACACATGTTACACATGTTACACATGTTACACATGTTACACATGCTACACATGTTCCACATGCTACACATGTTACACATGTTACACATGCTACACATGTTACACATGTTTTACATGTTACACATTTTACACATCTTACACATGTTACACATGCTACACATGTTACACATGTTACACATGTTACACATTTTACACATTTACACATTTTACACATGTTACACATGTTACACATGTGACACATGTGACTCATGTTACACATGTTACACATGTTACACATGCTACACATGTTACACATCTTACACATTTTACACATGTTACACATGTTACACATGTTACACATGTTACACATGTTACACATGCTACACATGTTACACAGGTTACACATGCTACACATGCTACACATGCTACACATGCTACACATGTTACACATGTTACACATGTTACACATGCTACACATGCTACACATGCTACACATGCTACACATGCTACACATGCTACACATGTGACACATGTTACACATGTTACACATGTTACACATGCTACACATGTTACACATGTTACACATGTTACACATCTTACACATTTTACACAATGTTACACATGCTACACATGTTACACATGTTACACATGTTACACATGCTACACATGATACACATGATACACATGCTACACATGTTACACATGTTACACATGCTACACAACTTACACATCTTACACATGTTACACATGATACACATGTTACACATGTTACACATGTTACACATCTTACACATTATACACATGTTACACATGCTACACATGTTACACATGTTACACATGTTACACATCTTACACATTTTACACATGTTACACATGCTACACATGCTACACATGTTACACATGTTACACATGTTACACATCTTACACATTCTACACATGTTACACATGTTACACATGTGACACATGTTGCTCATGTTACACATGTTACACATGCTACACATGTTACACATGCTACACATGTTACACATGTTACACATGCTTCACATGTTACACATGTTACACATGTTACACATGTTACACATGTTACACATTTTACACATGTTACACATGTTACACATGTGACACATGTTACAAATGTTACACATGCTACACATGCTACACATGTTACACATGTTACACATGTTACACATGTTACACATGTTACACATCTTACACATCTTACATATTTTACACATGTTACACATGTTACACATGCTACACATGTTACACATGTTACACATGTTACACATGTTACACATTACACATTTTACACATGATACACATATTACACATGTTACACATGCTACACATGTTACACATGTTACACATGTTACACCTGGTACACATGTTACACATCTTACACATTTTACACATGTTACACATGTTACACATGCTACACATGTTACACATTTTACACATGTTACACATGTTACACATGTTCATGTTACACATGCTACACATGTTACACATGTTACACATGTTACACATGTTACACATGTTACACATGCTACACATGTTAGACATGTTACACATGTTACACATGTTACACATGTTACACATCTTACACATTTTACACATGTTACACATGCTACACATGTTACACATGTTACACATGCTACACATGTTACACATGTTACACATGTTACACATGTTACACATGTTACACATGTTACACATGTTACACATGCTACACATGTTACGCATGCTACACACCTTACACATGTTACACATGTTACACATGTTACACATGGTACACATGTTAGACATGTTACACATGTTACACATGTTACACATGTTACACATCTTACACATGCTGCACATGTTACACATGTTACACATGCTACACATGTTACACATGCTACACATGTTACACATGCTACACATGTTACACATGCTACACATGCTACACATGTTACACATGTTACACATGTTACACATGTTACACATGTTACACATGTTACACATGTTACACATGCTACACATGTTACACATGTTACACATGTTACACATGTTACACATGCTACACACCTTACACATGTTACACATGTTACACATGTTACACATCCTACACATGTTACACATGTTACACATGTTACACATGGTACACATGTTACACATCTTACACATGCTACACATGTTACGCATGTTACACATGCTACACATGTTACACGTGTTACACATGTTACACATGTTACACATGTTACACATGTTACACATGCTACACATGTTACACATGCTACACATGTTACACATGTTACACATGTTACACATGTTACACATGTTACACATGTTACACGTGTTACACATGTTACACATGCTGCACATGTTAGACATGTTACACATGTTACACATGTTACACATGTTACACATCTTACACATGCTACACATGTTACACATGTTACACATGCTACACATGTTGCACATGCTACACATGTTACACATGTTACACATGTTACACATGTTACACATGCTACACACCTTACACATGTTACACATGTTACACATGTTACACATGCTACACATGTTGGACATGTTACACATGTTACACATGTTACACATCTTACACATGCTACACATGTTACACATGTTACACATGCTACACATGTTACACATGCTACCCATGTTACACATTTTACACATGTTACACATGTTACACATGTTACACATGTTACACATGTTACACATGTTACACATGTTACACATGCTACACATGTTACACATGTTACACATGTTACACATGTTACACATGTTACACATGTTACACATGTTACATGCTACACATGTTACACATGTTACACATGTTACACATGTTACACATGTTACACATGTTACACATGTTACACATGTTACACATGCTACACATGTTACACATGCTACACATGTTACACATGTTACACATGTTACACATGTTACACATGTTACACATGTTACACATGTTACACATGTTACACATGTTACACATGTTACACATGTTACACATGTTACACATGCTACACATGTTACACATGCTACACATGTTACACATGTTTTCCCTCTACCCCAATCTCCATGGGTCCGTCAGCTCCGCAGGGGAGGCACCCTGGGCCTCCAAGCGCCGGCGCGACCGGGGCAGGTTCCGCCCGGGCGCTCGGACAGCTCCCGGGCACCTTCCCAGGGTTTGGCTCCGAGTCACTTCCTTCTGTAGATGGGACCATGTTGTTCGGAAAAAGTTCAGACATTGGCCAATCCGCAGAGAGAGTGAGCCGAAGAAACCTGGTTTTTGTTGGTTGCCAATGACCAAAGTTGTTTTGTTTCCCAATTCTGACAAGCACAAAGTAGTTTGGCGGGTCAGGTGCTGTATTCTCGAAGCTACGGAGCAACGGGTGTCTCTGCGCGCTGACGGATGCCACAAGCTGGTGAGGGGACGCCTGACTCGCTCTACGATCGCAGCGGGCACAGCTCTTCGTATGTGGAGCTGGTCTTTTGTCTGTGTCGCTCGGAGGCGGCTCCGAGCTATGCTTGCATGTTCGAGTACTTGTTTCAAGCAGTTTGTGAACTGTGCGACAGGCTGGCATTGCCCCCCACGATGGCGCAATTGCGCGGAGACTTTGCAGAAGGGCGCCAGGAAGCAAGTCTTTGGCAGCGATGTCACCAGGCCAAAAAAGTGAACAAGTAGAACGGTTTCCATTTTTGAGAGAGTCATGTTGGCCACGCATGGCAGTGCGGGATCAAAGAGATGGCGATGAATCCGTTGGGGATGTTAAGCAACCATAAGGGTTGAGCTAAGTGCCCCCCTTCAGTTTGGGGCTGTCTCAAGACTGAAGTAAAAGCGGTCTATGTGCCCCGCCTGGCGTCCTGCTCCCCTTCAAGGTTGCGGCAACAGGAGTTGGTAGGTAAGGAGGATTTGTTGTTGTTTAAACGGATCGAGCGAGCGAGGGAGTTGACGAGCACCTTCATGTCCCGTGATGAAGGACTCTTTTTTTTTGCGTTGGGGGCCGGTGGGGGGGGGGTTGCTTCAGATTTCGAAGTGAAGCGAAGCTTCCACGACTGTTTAGGGCTGGATGTACACTGATATCAGGGTCATTTGGGACCTGTTGTGACATATTCGGCGGACAATGGACAAACTCAACGTGTCACTTGCCCTTCCTCCGTGTTGATGCCGAGGAGGCGAGAAGCGGGATCCTGGAGCCCGCAAGGAGCCGAAGGAGCCGGCGACACGGCCAAGGGCGCAGGGTCTGTGTGTAGCGCCTAAAAATCAGTTTAATTATAAATACCCTTGTTGTTTTTCAGGGTCCCTTTTCAATTATATACCTTGGTTACAGTTTAAAGGGAAGCCAAAAGGGAAGCCATTTTGGGGTCCACGTACCCAAAGCTTGGAGGCTTCCTATGGCTCTTTGCTTATCACCAGGATTCCCTCGTTTTCCTGAGAGGTTACCTGATTCTCTGGTGCCCCTACCATTTGTCCCAATTACTTTGCAATGGATTTGTTTTTTTGAAGCGGGAGGGCGGGGAGAGTTCCCCATTTTGACTTGAGAGAGGCACGACTTGGAGGCAGCTTCCAATACAAAGGGTCCTTGAGTTGTCCTCGGATCTTTTTGAGATATCTGCCCCCCCGCAAAGTACTTGCGTGCCGCTTCGTGCTCTTTCGTGCTCCTGGATGGCCTGGTAAGGCGCATAGGGAAGCATGGTTAGCCCCTCAGGCGCAATGAATTATTTGCCTGCGGGCTTGGAATCCATGAATTGCATTCTGTTAGGGATACAAAGGGTGTTTCTCATGAGCTCCCCGACCATACAAGTACATCCTTTGAAGGTGTATTCTGGCGCAGTGTGTTGAACCACCAGTCTAAGCATGGATGTGTTTATGTGTCTGTGTTTATGTGTTTGCATGAAACACATGCAGGTTACAGTTCGCATGACCAGCAATCACGTGTTTGCCGTGCGGCTCTTAAAAAAGGGCAAGACGTGTTTCTTTTGCCATGGATTCCAATCATTTGAACCTTAAGTTCGACTCAGCCGAAGCTGGCGTCACTCGCCTTCTGCGGCCTTCATGTCACGCATCGCAGCATTCGGCACTCAGACGAGCACCCTTTCGCGGATGTGCCATGTACATGGAGGAGTTTCTTCTGACTCCCTTTGAGTCAGATTGAACTGAACCAAGGGCAGCGAAACAATCGCATGTTCGCGCCAACATCCGGGGAAGTTTTGTTCAAAAAGACGGTGCGTCTTTGAATGATCCCATGGCTTTCTGGTTGCTGCTCCTTTGTGCCTCTCGGCCGCAAGAGGTTTTGTTTAATGCTTGGAGCGCTCCAGGGTCGCAAGGCCCCGAAATCACAGCTGCCACTGTGGCTTAGGGAAATCTGAAGCCATCAGGCATGGACTCTACTGGAGGGATTTCAATACCCTAGTTGTCTCCTAAAGTTCTATTTGCAATTTGGTGTTTAAGCTATTGCATCAGAAACGGCAGCCGACTGGCTGGACCCCGCTCGTTTTCACCACCTGCTCCGCACTTGCCAAGGCTTGGACCCATGCGTCATCCCGCTTCCCAGAAAATGAAGCAAGGGAAATAGTTGGAGACCCTGACTAGCCTCGTTTAACAAAAAACTCCTGGCTTGTGGTAGATTTGCCTGCCTTTTTGCCCTCACACCCAATCCTGGGGAATTATGTCGAGCTCACCGATTCAGGGGCAAAAGCGATTTCAGCCATGAAAGTATTTTGAGGATTTTCCGGTTTGTGAATTGCAATTTCCGCAGATGAGATTTGGGTTCGAGGCCAATCGCAGAGGATTCCAGTTGCCAGTATAGCACGGAACCAGCCATTTCAATTTGGTTTTTAAAGTCCTTTTGGTTTCCCTAAAATCCTTTTGGTTTCCCTTTACACGATCCGCAAGGGTACCCTCAAAAAGAGACAACCCCATTTCAGAGAAAGGTCTCTCTGAGCTTCGAATGATTGTGAATTCCTCAATCGAAGGGGACGATGCTACATTGCAGGTCGAGCATGCAAAACCGTGGGCGACCCTGCCAAGATGCAATGGCTCGAACTTGATCGCGACTCCACAACCAAGCCGAAGCCCAAGCTCAGGTCTCAGCCTTGGCTCAGCAGGCGCTGCGTGGCAGTGAAACCGAAGTTCCGCCCAAACGACCGCCGCTGCCGCCACGACGGCCGCGGAGCTTTTGGAACACCAGCGGCCTGGCTTCGGCGGGTGCTCTATGGCCCCCAAAGTTTAGCATATGTACAATCACTAATATACATGTCTACATGGTGTATGTATAAATTCATGATTCATTGCACATTGACTTTCCGAACACTGGTGTGTTCTGTCTTTTTCATATATGCAGTTTAGTTTTGGTTGTGTTCTGAACACGTTTTGCATGCTGTGACTTTTGAGACGTTTTGCCTGCTTGTAAAGCGGCAACTGATCTGTAACAAGCAGCAAAAGACTTATAGGTGGGAACTTGAAGCACTCGAAAGCTGAGGCATTGGCCACCCTTTGAAGGCCCTGGTGTGTGGTCATGCTTTTTCCTCCGGGCTGTGTGGCAACTTGAGTGTTTTTAGGGCTTTGGTCTCGGGGGCATAAAACCAATGACAAACCGTCCTCGGGGTTTAGGATGAACGGCCGCAACATTTTCGGCTTATAGCTCGTGCTGTTTGGATGGCAGGGCCGCTCTGCCTGCGCTGTGGCCGTTGGAGTCCGGAGTCTCCTGCGTCGGGAGGCGGGCTCTGCGGCCTGTGCAGAGCGGCCCTTTTTGTGGGCGGGGTCGCCACTGATCCCCGTCTCACTCCGGCGCTCCACTTCCACGTGGAGTACGCCTTGAAGCGGGTGGTCGGTGAGGTCGCCCTGCTTCTTGGCCCCCTCCAGGCCGGAGGGAAGGGTCCGAAGCCAGCTCCTGAGTCGGGAGCTGAGGACCGTAAGAGGCGAGCAGTGAGGAGCCTCTCAGACGCAAGAAGGACAAGAAGGACAAGTCCAAGAAGGAGAAGAAGGAGGCTAAGGCTGTCAAGAGTGGCAAGGAGCTCAAGCAGCGCCCTCGGTCAAGAGGGCGGTCCCCTAGGTCTTCGGCCAAGGAGCGGGTCCCGAATCCAAGGTGCTGGATTCGGACGAGGAGCTCCTCTTCCCAGAGGAGAGCCAGGCCAAATATGTGGCCAGGCGATGTCCCGGGCTGCTAGCCAAGATGGGGCTCCAGCGGTGCAGGAAGACCCTGTACGATGGGATGGGTCTTTCGCTTGCCAGCAGGGAGCCGGGTCCCGCCATGGTTCAGTACTTCCGCCAGACTCTCTCGCGTCTGAACCCGTCGTGCCCATTGGCGAGAGAGGCTTTGTCGCTCTGTGCGGTCATGGACCAGCTCTTCGAGGGGGAGGTCGTCCGAGCGCTGGATGTCAGCATGCAACGCCTGAAATACCTCGAAGCCATCATGCGAGGGAGACGCCCGGAGGTGGCATCAAGGATGGAGTTGATCCCGGAGATCCTCAACAGCGTCGCCACAGACGAGGAGCTCCGGACGGCTGCAAAGGAGCAGAAGCAGGACGCGTTTGCAGGCCTCCGCGGGGAGGCGCCCCTGGACAGGGGGCAGCGGGTCAGCAAGCGGAGTTCATCAAGACCAAGGAGATCAAGCCGCCCCCTGGCAAGGAAAAGGGGGCGATCGCGCTAACAGGAGTTACCCTCCCAAAGGGAGGGGCTGGTGGAGCAAAGGCGGGAAGCCGAAGGGCAAGGAGAAGGGCTCCAAGGGCGCCCCACAGTCGGAGGTGGTGAAGCCCAGCCCGCGGACGCCTGAGCGGTTTTGCAGGAGTGATCTCCTCTTCGCCTGAGAGGAGAGATGAGCCGGATCCAGACTTGGTAGCTAAGCCCCACGTGCCTGATCTTGCGCCCCCGTCGCATTTTTCCGCGTCCGATTGTTCCCTAGAACTGTCACTTGCTGCAGCTGGACGCTGCTTACAAGAGTGGTGGTTTGAAAGTAGGGCCGAAGTTGTTGCCTTCACCGCGAGCAAGGCGGCCTGGGAAGGGGAACGAAGCCTGCCGTCAGACTTGTTTCCCCTGCCCGCGCGGGGGGGTGGTTTGGGCACGGAATATGGGGATTTCTCCTTTGATGCTTGGTTTCAAGGGGTGGTCACGGGCCTCAACTGGATGGCTGGTTACCCCCCTGTCTCTTCGGTTTCGATGCCTGGACATGAGGGCACTGCGCTGCAGCAAAAAGTACTGCGGCATCTTTGGGAGTCCATTTCCTGTGTTGGTAGGTGGAGTGAGGTTCCACTACCTAACCCCGAAGGGGAGGAGGATTTTTGGAATGCTAAGGTGGTTAATTTGTACGGGATGGAAGTACACGTCCCGCAGAATTTGGGGTGGGCCAACCTAGCACATTCCCTGCCCGCCAAAGGCAGTGCAGGAGTCGTAGACGCACTTGAAGTGTGTTCAGCAAAAGTCAAAGACTTCCTCGAATCCCCCCACAAGTACTTGAAGCCACAAGGTTCCCGGAAGTGGCTGAAACCTCCCAAGTCAGGGTTGGGGAGGAAGATTGGGGGCAGGTTGCCCAAGGTTTGATTGAAAGGGGCATCTGTACCCCTTGGCCCCTGGAGGAAGCCTACAAGGTTGAAGGGGAACCCCTTCTTGGTGGGCTTTTTGGGGTGCCGAAGCATGAGGTTGTCGGGGGCGTGGAAGTCCTGAGGCTAATTATGGACCTCCGCCCGGCAAATCTTCTTTTTGAGCCGTTGCAAGGTGACTTAGCAACGTTGCCCCTCTTATCGCAGATGGCGCCTTTGGAGGTTAGAGAGGGTGAACATGTCCTCATCTCGAGTGAGGATATCAAGGCGATGTTCTATGTGGTAGGCCTTCCTGAGGTTTGGAGGCCGTTTCTTTGTTTCAATAAGGTTATACCGGCCTCCCTTCCGGGTGGGGATAGGAGGCCACATGTGCTGTCTGCTACAGTGCTCCCAATGGCCTTCATCAACAGTGTGAGTGTTGCTCAGCACCTGCATCGAGGACTGGTCACGAGGGCGATGGAGCTGGCAGGTGTGGGTCGAGAGACGGAGCTCAGACGTGACAAGGCGGTTCCTCGCTCCCCTTTGTTTTACAGGGCCTACTTGGACAACTTCGATACTTTGCAAAAGGTGAACCCTTCCGCTGCGGCACTTTTGGAGGGGCGGCCAAATGGGGCGAGCCTGGCACTGCGTTCAGTTTATGAGGAGTTCAATGTTCCCCGGAATGTGAAGAAGACTG